AGAGTTAAAATAGTGTTTAACAACTGCATTTGTATTCATAATTCCATCTAGAACTGAAGAATTTAAATTGTTTAGAGGCGTTTCTCTAAAAGGGTTGGGTTGTGTGTTGCTGCAGAATAAGAAGGTGATTGGCTATGCTTCCAGACAGTTGAAGCCTCATGAAAAAAATTATCCAACACATGATTTAGAAGAAACTGCAATGGTATTTGCATTAAAAATTTGGAGACACAATTTGTATGGAGTGAGATGTGAAATATTCATGAATCATAAAAGTTTTAAGATATATTTTTACTAAAAAAAATTAAATTTGAGATAGAAAAGATGGTTGGAATTGATAAAAGACTATGATATGGACATTCAGTATTGCCCAGGCAAAGTTAATGCTGTGATAGACGCATTAAACATAAAATCTATATGTTGAATTCAGAGGAAGGATTAATTAAAGAAATGAAAGCATTATAACTAGAGGTCAGAATACAAAATAATCAAGATTCAGTTAGTTTAAATTAGATGGGGGTTTATTCTTCCCTAGAGGAAAGAATCAGTGCAGCTTAGAAGACTACTGTTGAATATTAGATGCTTATGGAGTAATGGAAATCATGTAAAAGAAAGGTTCTCAGTGTAAATGATCAAGGAAGAATCAAGATCAACCATCGTTTGTGGATACCAAAGCAATAAGTTTTAATTCAGGAGGTTTTATATAAAGCGGACAACTCTTGGTATTAATCCATCTAATAAGCACAAAGATGTATACAAATTTAAAGACCTAATGTTGGTGGCCTGGAAAGAAAAGATATATGATTGAATATGTGGCTAAATGTGAAAAGTGTCAAGTGGTTAAGACTAAACATCATAAACCTAGTAGAATGTTGCCGTCATTATCAATTCCAGAATAAAAATGGGAAGAAATAGCTATGGTTTTCATTATAGGATTCCCTAGGTGAAGGCAAGGGCATGACTATATTTGGGTTATGATTGATAGATTAACAAAGTCAGCACATTTTCTACCTATTTGTCAAACTGATTCAGTAAAAAATTTAGCTAAGTTATTTTTAAAGGAAATCATCAGATTGCCTAAAATTACTAAGACTATTATGTTAGATAGAGATGGACATTTTACATCCAAATTATGGAAGAATATTCATGAAAGTTTGGGCACAAGATTGAAGTTCAATACTGCATTTCATCCACAAATAGATTATCAATCAGAAAGACTGATTTAGGTGTTGAAAGATTTGTTACAATTGTGTATGCTGAATTTTGGAGGTAGCTGAGAATATCACAATCCATTGATAGAATTCAAATATAATAATAGCTACCAATCCAATATCAAGATGCCTCTATATGAGGCATTATTTGGTAGAAAATGTAGAACTCTTTTGAGTTGGTTTGAGATTGGAGAAAGATAATTATTGGGTCTGCAATTAGTTGATCAAGATACTAAAAAATAGATTAATTAGAGACATATTAAAAGCAGCTCAGGATCGTGAGTAGAAATACTATGATCCCAAGCAAAAAATGATAGAATTTGAAGTGAGAGATTTTGTATTCTTAAATGTGAAACTAATGAAGGGAAGGGTATTGCTAGATTTGGTTAAAGTGGAAAACTCAATCCCCGTTAAATTGGTCCATTTGAGATTATTGAAAGAGTGGGACAAGTTGCTTACAAAATAGTACTACATTCAAATATGTCTGATATACACAATATTTTTCATGTATCAATGCTCAGAAAATAGACTATAGATGAAATTCAGAGAGTTCTCCAGAAGGAAATTAATATTCATAATGATTTGACATGTGTGGAGGAACCTGAACAGATCCTAGAGAAGGATGTTCGTAAATTAAGAAGAAAAATAATTCCTTATGTGAAAATAAAATGGAAGCACACATCAGTAAATGATACTATATGAGAAAAAGAGACATACATGAGACAAAATTTTCTCAATTGTTTAAGGAAGTATGAAAGAATGAATTTCGATGATGAAATTTTAATAAGGAGTGAAGATTTGTTAGACCCAAATTTTCAGGCATGTAAAATTAATTAACTATGTCCTAAAACTTATTTTAAAGTTAATGTTAACTATTGTTAAATTAAGTATTAACAACTAAATTATTGTTTAATAAAATGGTTGAGTAAAGATTAAAATTATATTTAGTACAAGACTACATTTTAAAAAGTACTATTTTGTATATACTACATACTCTCTCTTGATGCAAATAGCAAAACAAATATATTGTTATGAAAGTATATAATCATACAATACAAATATGAATGATGAATATGTGAACTTACTGAATAAAAATTAATAAAGATTTGCTATAAAATGGTATAATGCATGCATTGTAGGTGAGGCAAAAGGGACCCAAGGTATAATACCTACATTATAGGTGGGGAAAAAAAAATCCTAAAGTGGTAAAAGGGACTTCTCTATAATTCAATTACGATAATGTCATATTTACCTGAGCTCCATTGAATATTTTTATGAAAGTTTAGCCAAATATTTAAAGACTAATATTGATATTCCATACATATGTCAAATGAAGGTATGATGAATTTTTTTTTTCTTTTTTTTTAATGATTTATGTTGTTTTGCAAAAATTTCTAAGTTAATTCAATTATGTTATTATTTATAACATGACATTTTATAGTTCGCCTGTTATTTTATATTGGCTATTGTTACAAGAAAAAAAAAAGGAAAACTTGAAACTAAATAGGTTCAAGTTTAACTCACTTTACATTATTCTGTTTAGAAATATTTGTAGGATTACATTGGAGGAATGTAGACTAGTATTTTTCTCCTTTGGATTCTCTTAGTGGCTCTGCACATATTTTTGTGATAAAAGTTAGATTAATTAGATACTTCTGTGTATTTAATAATGTATTTGTTGGTAGTTATTTTATTCAACTATGACATTGATGAAAAATGACAAAAGTAAAGAATGACTGTTATGTTCATTTCTATGATACTCTAAGTTATTGTTAATAGGTATCTTGGGGTGTACATATTTGACCACTAATTTTTTGTTATTTTCAAAAAAATTATACTTGAAAGCTTTTTTCTGCATAACATTCTTTACTATATCAGTTTTATAAAGTAGTAAGAAATCAATCTCAAATAAAGACTTAATAAATGACACATTAACCTAATTCCTCTATAATTCACACACTATTATGCATCATTGTTATTCTAAAAAATAGAATCAACACACTCTAAAAAAATAGAAATCAGCACATTTCACTCATCTAACATCTTTATAGTTTTTAAAATAATATTGAAAAGTTTAATAAGTCAAAAAATGCCTTCATCTCTAAAGTATTTCCACACCTTTATTGAAATATCATCAGGTCAAATTATTTTTTCATATTTCATTTTCTTTAAAATCTCTCTAACTTCAATTTTACTAATACGACGATAAAAATAAAAGTTCCATATTTTCATTTGGGTGCTAAGGTCATTATAGTCAATCGCATTATCACAAGATTCATTAAAAATTTTATCAAAATATCTCATCCGCCTATGTTGAATATCCTCTTCTAGTAAATGTACTTTTTAATCTTCATCCTAAATTCATTTCATTTAAATTAGTTTCTTTCTTATCCTATCTGTTTACTTGGAGAACTTACATATACATTTTTTATCCTCTTTAGTATCTAATCTATTGTATAAATAATTAAAAACTAAATTCTTTGCATTGCACAACTCCTTATGAGCCCCCTATACATTTCCTAATTTTTCGAGCTTTTAAATCTAAACTAATTTTTTACAACAAAGCTTATTATTTTTATTTTTTTCTTGCACATTTTGATTTAACTCATCAATTATATTTACTATTAAGAGCTTTTTCTTTTAATACTCCAAGAACATAATTTATAATATTCTTAATATCACCAGCTATTTTTCCCATAAAACATTAGCATCCTTAAGCACAATCAAAATCTTGAGAACATGAATCTTATATTTAAAATATTTTTGTTATTATTCTTTAAATGCTCCCATTTAATCCTAAGATAATAATTTACTTTATTTTTTATAATCATCTCCTTCATCATAAAATCTAAAACTAATAAATAATAGTATGTACATAAACTTTTACTTGCAATGATTTTATAATATTTATAATCTAAATAATTTATTTTCTTTATAAGAAAATAATCAATCTGAATTTTGCTATATCTATTATTATAAATGATGATATTCTCCTCTATTCTTAAATAAGATATTACCAATTACAAAATCATAGGCAAGAACACAACCTAATATGGTGATATCATATTCATAATTTTTTTAAACTCATAACCACTATGAATCCTTCTAAAAACTTATGCCACTCTACTAACATATCCATTTAAATCTCATTCAATAAAAACTAATTCTTCAAGAGGTATCATTTATATTAATTCTTCTAACACATTATAATATTTTAATCTTAAACACAAATCAAAATATACTTGAGGAAGATAAGCACTTATAATATTAATAATCTTAGCATTAATAATAATTTTTAAACTTATAAATTTTTCTCTAATTTTATTAATTTCTATAGCATTATCATTCAAACTATTATCTATAAGCATACTTACATCATTTCTAGTATGACTACAATCTTAATAACATAATATAAATCATAAACTATTATTCTCCTTAGCATTCTCTTTTCTTGAATTCATAGAATATTTATCTTCATATGAATCATAATATCTATTAATTCCATTAATTTACTTGAAAGTAAACCTATATTTGAAGTTGCTATCCTAATTCTAGTTTCAAGCAAACTGGCTCCATAAGCTAGGTCATAATAATAAAAATAATATAAAAAGAAAAGAAAGGTGAAATTAATGGAAAATGAAAAGGAAAGGATAATTAGTAAATGAAGCCAACAATTAATTGCACTACAGCTTCCATTTGAACAAAACTAACAAAATAAAATGTATAAAAGAAAAGATCCAGCATATTTACTTTGAACCCACATAGCAAACTGCCCTCAGGGCATACTAACAGTTGCATCAAACAGCAAATAAAATAATTAATAATTTTAAACAAAGGAGCATCATAAAAGTTTCTCTCATGGCTCCAAAAGCAGAAAGCAGAGTACAGATCGTTCCATTACAGTATCCATTACAATAAAAACTGACAGATATTAAAAGTTTAATTTAAATAATTCATCCATATTTACTTTGAACCAACATACTTTGACATGCAAGACTAAAGCTTTCCTTACAAATACACAATCATAATGTCAGGATATAAACTCCAGCTTACTGACCAAGGCCTTCCAAAGGTTTTTAATACAACTGTCGTCAAGCAAAAAAGAAGGCAAATGACAAAAATATAGTCAATAAAATGATAAGAACACTTGCAAGAAAAAAAAAATGTTAATTTTCTAACACAAATTTTATTAGGATGATCTTAAGAAATTATTAAGTTGTTTTTTTTTTGTGTCATTTCAATTCTTAACAGCACATAATGGAGAAAAAAAGTTCATGTAATGAACCCCACATAATGGGATAAAGATTTTATACCATTCTGATAAAATTAGGTTAGAAATCTTATACCAATTTGTTTTATATACTGTTAGGGGGAGTAAATATTTTGTAGGCGTAAGAAAATGTTGTATGCAAAAAGATAGACAGAATGCAACAATAAAATCACCCACTAAGGCTTTGTTTGGAATGACTTTCTTGTTGCTTCTTAGAGCAATTTTCTATTATAAACATTTTAATTTTTATAATATAAAGCTGATTTAAGAAGCAACAAAAAAGTCATCCCAAACGAAACCTAATTCTCTCTACCAATCTCTCTCTTCAATCTTTTTTTTTTTAGTTTTAACTTGTTATCCCTATTCCATCATTATCTCTCTCTCTTTTGTTGCTCATTGAATAACATACCTCTGATTGAAGGCCTCTAGTTGCCAAGTATAAAAGGAAATAAGAAATCCACACATTGCTTATATTCATCACCGTTGTTGTTCTGAAGCTGAAGTTCCATTTGAAGGAGCTAAGGGCATGTTGCTTGTTGAACAATTCTCAGTGGGTGGAGTTGCACCCCACTTACCCTCAGATTCCAGTGGTTCAAGAACATGAACACTGCCATCAATCAGACCCAACGCAAATTGATTTGGCTCTGATGGGTGCGCCGCAACAACGAGTGGATAGACATTTGAGCTGATAAACAAGTCATATTTCTTAATGAGATGTCAAGTTTCAGCAAAATACAAGAATTCTTCAAAATACAGGCGCTCCATTCAATGAAGTACCTAATGTCAGCTGGAAGATAAGCTGTAGAATTAATTCGGCATCGAAGCCTGAGGTTTGCAGCACTAAATATGCACACAGTAGCATCCAGAAAGCTTGCATATATCAGTTGACTATCACAGGAAAAGGTTGCATGAGAGATTGGAGGAGAAGATTCACGAGGTGCCCACTGAAGATATAAGAGAAGATAAAGGCCTGAGAAAGTTCCCATCACTTGTTCTTTATATTGAAATAAAAATGACTAGGACAAATACCTGTCTTAAGCATTCGAGCTTATTAGCCTCATATATAGCAATCTGTGTCTCATGTACAACGAGGAAATGAACCTGATCCAGGTGAAACTGCACACGGGTATCTGAAACTGCATTAGATGTGCGTCCAGGTGGAACTTGCAAAAACTTGTTCCTTAGCTTTTCCCAACCATCAATACCCCAGATACAAAGCTGCAGCAAGAAACAAATCTCTTCAAGTTGTTCAAACGGTCCAATGATTTTCAGCAGGATGATAAGGAAACCAATTCATAGAAGCAGAGAAAATATCATTTACAGAATTGGAAATCAACCTGAGCATCAGCCCCAGATGAGACCAGCACGTTTAATGGATGTGAAAAGGCGAGGCCGGTAATTCGATTTCCATGGCCTCGAAGTTTGCTTTTAACCTGCATGACCATGGTAGATTTTAAAGTCGAGTAGAGTTGGTAAAAAGTAATAAAAATAAGAGAACTAGAAGAGAAACATCAATCAAATTTCTTATTCCAAACTACAAGAATAGTTACTTATTTATAGGAGCAAAATAGAAACAATCACTAATTCTAGAATTAAGTAACTAATTAGATAAAATAGGAATAACCGGATCATAAGAATTGCTAAGTTAGGCAATCATTTTGTAGTTGCAATATATGAGAAACTAGCATTGGTCCTACTCATTAAGAATTTTCTACTCTCCCTCGAGCTGATAATATATGTTGATCATTCATAGCTTGAACTTTGGGTTATTGAACTTTAATTAATCCAAAGTTTTAAGCTTCGTTTGAGACGACTTTTTTATTGCTTCGTAAAACAATTTTTTAGTACCAAAATTAAAATTTTTTACTAAAAAACTGTTTTAAGAAGCAGTAAGAAATCTGTCCCAAACGATACCTTAGTTAGGATATCTACTATCTGGAGTCTTGTAGGATTGTACTGCATTAAAATGACTCTTACTCTTTTTTCTTTCTCTTTTTGATAAAATGTATATCAACTTTCCCATGTTTACTTTTTTCATTGTGGGCTAAATCTTTGAGTGCTAATTGTATGTTGCTTGTCACATATCGTTATCATTGGTTCTTTAATGTGGATGTTTAGAACTTCCAATAACTTTTTGATCCACATTCTTTCTATAACTTCATGACCTAGGACCCTGAATTCACTGCTACTTCTAGGAACTGCCACCTATTTTCTACTTCCCAAAAGCAAGAGATAGATTTTTTATTAGCTATAGACTCAAGCCCAATCGCCATCAGTAAAAATTTTAATGCTCCTATCTATTTCCATTTTGATAAATAGACCTTTCGGAGGAGCCCATTTCAAGTACATTAGTATGTTGTAGACTACACATCAAAGTGTTCTTTAGCTGGAATATTGAAAAATGGCTAACCACACAAATAGAGTAAAATATATCAGGACATGTATGAAAGATATAAATAAGTTTTCCAACAAGACATACCTTTCTTTTTCACCTTAGAGAGTGTCACAATTAAATCATCTTAAGGTCTATTTGTAGGTTTGTATTTCATCATTCAAGTTTCTTTTAAAAAATCAAATGTATATTTTTGTTGAGAGATAGATATACTTTTCTTTGACCTTGCGATTTTTATACCTAGAAAATATATTGCGGTTCCCAAATATTTAATTTCAAATTTACATGCTAAAATCACTTTGTATCTTGATTTCTACCTAATCAGGACTAGTTAAAATAATATTATCCATATATACAATCAAGATAGTGAGTTGACGAACATGTGATTTCATTATAAATTAAGGTAAGAAAAGCATGCCCTTGAGAGTATCTATATTTAAATTGTAGTGACAAATCGCCCAAATCAGGCTCTTGGAGATTACCTCATGCCATATAAAAATTTCTGAAGTTTGTAGACTCTACCTCTATTGTTAGTGGTCTCACATCTATGAAAGAGATTCATATACACCACTTCTTCCATATATCCACTTAGAAAGGGATTTTTGGCATATAGTTGACGAAGAGGTCAATTAAGATATATGGCTAGAGAGAGGATGACTCGAATAGAGTTAATATTAATAACTAGTGCAAAGGTTTCTTGATAATATATGCCATAAGTTTGAATAAATTCTTTTATAAACAAGTTTAACTTTATATCTTTCAATACTCCCATCAAACTTGTGTTAAATATTAAAGATCCATTTGCATCCAATAATTTTTTTTACTTCCAGTAAGATTGTGAGTTGCAATATGTCATTCTTTCAAGTGTTTTTTTATTTCTTCATGAATATCTCTCCGTTGTTATTTTTAATGCTTCTTGATGTTAATGGGAATGTTCAAACTAGAAAACTTGACTGTAAAAGCCTTAAACTCAAGATATGTTGTTGTAAGAAATGTATATTGATCCATTTTTTTTGTAAAATTATTCTTCTACCTTTCTTGTGAGTAAATGGGATATCAAGATTACAAATAGTGCTCCCTTTGAAAGATTATTGAAGCTTGGTTCAAATGGATTGTTTTGTTATAGAGGAATGCTTGTTGGATGTTTCTTCCGTCTAGTATAAACCATGCCTTTATATCTTAACTATTAAGAATTTCCAATGTGATGGGGATTTTGAACTTCAAGGGGTTTAGGGAAAGAAAGAGACCGGAGGTAAGTGGAATGAATAAAAAATCCAAACTCATGAAGAGTGTTGGATCTCCTCCCTAATGGGTACTTAATTTTTTTTACGCAAATGAGCTTGCTTGCTACTATGAATGCATGTTTTATATGCTCCAAACTATGCAAGGGCACGATCAAGTAATGAAGTGTAGGAGAAGAATGTCGATCCCATGAGAAAATATGTGTGCTACACCTAACTCTAGTATTTCTACTCAAACCACATAATTTATCCTACACAATGAAATAAAAGATAAGGTGCTATCACTACTAAGAAATGCAGTAAATAGTAAAGATAACCATAATTAAAAGATGTTCTAAAATAATGATAGTAAATGAACCTATATTTTCCTAAGTACTTGTCTATAATTGTTGTGAATCAGAGCATATGCACATTTAAATTTCTATCGAGCTTATTTACAATGATTCTATCTCCATAGACCCTAGAATCCAAATCGTCCTATATCTAGGCATGAAAGTATTTTATATCAATCCTCCAAATCATTCCAACACTCATTTGTCGAGGCAATATATCACACTAAATTTTAAATTCATATGAGCCTATTGCATAAATTAAATTAAGCACAAGGGTAATTGAGAACAACTATTCACATTTACATTCAAAAATCTACATTAGGAGAAACAAAAGGTATTCACATCATCAACCCAAAACATAGACGTTAACCGATCATAAAATTAATTCAGAGCAAAAAAATGTTTCATTACTTGTTTTAAAAAATATAAAAAAAGAAAGATGAAGAATATATCACCTGGAATTGAGAATCCTAAATAAATCCTACAGATGGACTTTTTCTGAAGTGATTTTCTCCTTATATCTTCGCTCTCCACACTCTCTTCCACTCCTGAGGAGTGTTTTGCTCACTACAAAGACGATCAACCACTCTACTAAATGTAACTTCACTATTCCTTATCTCCCTTAAAAGAAAACACAAGTATTTAATTTTTTTTATATAAACTGACTCAGCCGTCACGACACTTAACAGAGTGGGACCTCGGCATTACAATGATAAACTAGTACCTCGGTGCTGCTAAATTAGCTCCATTGTGGTGTGGGACTGATGTGGGCTCCAAAAATTTGGCCTCGGTCTCCCCTTGTTAGCTTTTTCGGGGGAGGTTTAACAGATTAAGTTCCGAGGTAAATTTTGAGAAGGCATGGGTTTGTAGATAAGACACTACCTAGAGATTTCGCCCTCATTTTGCAAGGACTTTATGATCTGAGTTATGGTTTCCTATAGGCGCAAGCCCCTATAGTTAATTACCCCTCCCGCTCACGAGAGAAAACTTTCAATTAAGCCTAGTTGTCAATCAGATACATAGAAATATGTGTTATCTAGCATATAGTAGCAGCATGGGTTTAGGTATTAGAAGTTTGAATATTTGATATTTAAAAATAGAAATGTTCACCATCTTTCACTTTAAATGGATGGTGGGGGAATGGATGATGGACCCGATCAAGATCCCATGGTTTCATTGTCCTGGTGTGGGCTCCGAAAATTCGGCCCCGGCCTCCCCACCGAGCATTTCTTTTTATTCGGCGAAGGAGTTTTAACCGATAAGTTCCGGGGTAAATTTTGGAAGGCAGATGGGTTTGTAGATAAGACACTACCCAGAGATTTCGCCCTCATTTTGCGAGGACTTTGATTTGAGTTCTGATTCCTATAGGCGCAAGCCCCTATAATTAATTACCCCTCCCGGTGACGAGAGAGAACTTTCGATTAAGGCTAGTCGTCGATCAGATACGTAGAATATACGTGATATCTGGCATATAGTAGCAGCATAGGTATTAGGAATTTGGAATGTTTGGAAATTTGCGTTGAAAGAGTTTGATATTTGAAATGGAAATTTCATCATCTAGCACTTAAAGCGGATGGTGGGGCAATGGATGATGGACCCGATCAAAATCCCATGGTTCCGTCGTCCCGGACCATCATGATCCCTGGTCTACTTAGTCAGAGGAGGTAGTCAACCCAATCTAACAGAAGGATCCTTGTCGGCAGCCATGGGTTGCTTTGTCCAAGGGAACCTTGTAGACCTGGGTTGGATATCTGCCTAAGGGGACAAATTTGAATCCACCTTAGCTAACAGAGGACTTTGTGCCCTATCAATCATATCCTATTGATTCATATCTCAAGGATTTAATGTCATTAAGGAACGTATTGGCGCTGGCCATAAACGATATTTCATGGTGCCATTTGGCAGCAAAATCACTCGGTTTAGAGGGTTCCGGGTCATAACCGTTTACTTGCAGTGCCATTTGGCGGCAAAACTGCCGGTTAGAAGACACGTACCACGTCCTTACTGGCAGGAGATTGTTTAAGAATTGATCCTAGTGATATTTTCAACTATGCATTTGGCTCTTTGTGAGCTAGAGTTTATTTGAATTTGTCCACCCCAGCAGACTGTTGCGGAGGGTGGATGGGCTTTTCTTTAAGTGTTGGGATGGATAGTTTCAATTTTAAATATTTTTGGATTTTGGAGTCTTGGGATATTTTTGAAATTTTATGGATATTTTGGATGGAGCTTTAGAATATTTGAAATGAACTTTAGATATTTGGGAGACATTTGAAAATATTTGGGAACCCCTCCGGTTGAGATCTGCATACAACATGGCCATCATCGGGGTGTTTGGGATCATTTCTCTTTTATTGATTGAAACTTGTCGACTCTATTGAATTATCGATAGATGATCGGATTTCGTATGTTTTATGTCCTTATTAGTGAATTCGTATTGTTATAGGCCTTTGAAGGCCTAATATGAATGT